ACTTGGGAAATTCATGCATTGATAAACCCACAGACCAAACATGGCAATTAAAAACAAAACATAATAAAATATATTTAAAATATATTTAAAATATCTTAAACTCTCAGGGTGTTTATGTTTACTTGTGTTTGGCAAGATCAAATTTAGTATTTTACAATTGGTGAAAACACCCAAATCCTGTCTGCTATTTTTTGAAGCTAATGTCATAAAATATAACCCGATTTGCGGCACTAAATAACCATACTATAATTTTCGATGTTGTGTTTTCTACGACATGAGACAAGGGGATATTTAGTTAGTCATGATTTGACAGGATACTTGAACAGTTGCTGATGTGATAAGTTTAATTATCAGATGTAGCCATGTAATGTAATGCCATGTAATATTTTTTTTATTTTCAGCGCGAAAATTAATATTGACGTTTTAGCGGTGATACCCGCTGCCCAGAATGGGCATACCATGCTGACTAGTCACACTCATCATGATCGGTTTCATATATTGTAATGAATGTCAAGAAACAAAGATCTAATCTTGATATGCCATAGTGCTCTATATAGAGTGGTAATTAGGAATGCTTTCTCATATATTTTGCTGGACAGACAAGTCAAATTTAGTAATTATCTGTATATGTCTTCCAAAAACATGTTGAAGATCTAAACCAGCTCATTTCTCGAGTAACCTTGCTTAACTAGTTTTGCAGCTAGTGAGCTGTGCCTTACTGGGAAATATGATCAACAATTCTACAGTGTCTTACAAGCTGAGCCACGTATACACCTTTAATGTAGTACTCTCCATAATACAAGAACAATGGAGTTGGTCCAAGGATTCGTTAGTTTGAGTATTAAGCACAAGAATGTGTTAGTATTGCATAGTTTCAAAATATTTTATTTTCTTGGCCCCCGGAACCCTCTGGAATTACTACTGAATTAGTTGTATTGTCAGCAAATCAATAATACCTGTGGACCCGATTCAGTACTACCAACATAAGGGTCACCAATTACTCGTTTTTTGGCGCGTTCTACACTCTTCTTAACAAATTCATCATAAATATCTTCCTGTACAAATGTACGTGATCCAGCACAACACACTTGTCCCATGTTACCAAATAAGGCTTGATGAGCATTTTCAACAGCAAAGTCCACTACACGAAAAAAAAATTGTTGTTTTGTAGATAAATAATATGAACTAGATTTTTGTGTTAATGCCTTAAATTTATCGCGAACGATAGCATTAACATTTTTTGCATTGTACAGTTAAATCTGCAAACTCAACTTGGTATACCATTATTTATTGCTCAGTATTACGTGGTTTGGTTCCCATTCATCGACATGACAGTATGAATGATCAACATCAAAGTTCACAAGACATGACTGCCACAGAAAAGCCAAACCACAATTGACAATCGTCACATCGTAACGACATTTGACATTCACGACATTTGTATTGATTGTGGACGTCATTGTAAAGTGGATGAAATTGATTGCGGAATTTGAGAATTTTGAACACAAGAAAATTTACATATACTAAAAAAAATTTATTCTGTGACAAAAATATCAATGTCTTATAAAATATCGCGAAAGACGACTTGAAGCATGTTGACTTTATTTTGTCAAAATGTCAGTGTAAAATATTTAATTTATTTATATACTCTGGCCATGGCCATTATTAACCAAAACCTGGAAAAAAATGCTCAATTCAAATTATGTGTATTGCATTGGATTATGATGATATCAAATAAAACAATTGTATTCAACTTACTATCTACATCTGCAAATATTATATTTGGACTCTTGCCACCAAGTTCTAGGGTAACTCTTTTCAAATTGGACATTGCAGAAGCTGCTTTAATTATTCTTCCAACCTAAGAAAGAACAAGACATGCAATGCACAGTCCCCGTTAGATATCAAATTTAAGGTAGAGATGCAGTTTACCTGACAGATATTTTAATTAGTTAATTAAGAAACCAAGATGACCTCCCTTGTCCACAAAACTATATATTTTCGAAAAGCTTATTGTATGAATTTTAAAATTTTTTAAGTATTTTTTTATGGACACTGTAGTTTGAAATATGCACAAAAATGTGCTTTTTTGGTCAAAAGTGATTTAAAAAAAAATAGCGTCTAAACCATGTCAAAATTGGTTTACGAGTACATATTTTTACTATGAAGAAAGTGCCGTCTTGAAAACTGGCTAACAGATGTCAATTTTGCAGGGCAGCTGCTCAGATTTTACTACTTCAAGTTTATGCATAAATTAACACCCAGGCTAGTTGTCTGTACGATTGTTGTAACATCATTCAACCAAAAACAATGCCCCGATGGCGTTTTGAAGATAAACACATTGTCAATCATTTGTGAAAATTTCAAAACAAAAGGTCTAAGAGTCTGTGATGTGCACTAAAAAGAAGAAGCTGAGATAATTGCTAATTTGCATAACAATTCACTCAGTAAGAAGTTTGCTAATGCTCATAATTAAAATGGCTGTAACAGTTCCAAATTTAAATGTATTATCGTTTTGTTAAAAGTTAAATATAGTGCATAATATGGAGATCGCGTAATTATTTTTTTTCACCATGTTTCTTTTTATTATTTATGTACAGCCTTGCTAAATCTTGCTAAGCATTCAAAAGAGAGAATGTTTGCACCATTATCTATATTTTAAAATCGTCTTTTGAGTATGTTCCATTATTCAAAATTCTACAAACTTTTAACAGTCTATAGCTAAGACTGTTTGGGTAATAAAAAGCAAAAAAATAAATTACTCCCAAGTGCCCACGAACCTGCATCTCTACCTTAAGATATATAGTTTTGTTTATAGTAATATAGTTAGAACATAAACATGTCAGAAGTATGGATCCAGAAGATGATGCTTGATTATGATGATTGTTTAACATTAGTCATCTTGTATCTGCTCATTAAACTACTACTTGTACAGCATTATTTAAAACAAAATGGACACTGGCCGGTAATTTTGAATACATCTGTATAACTATGAGATGATGTATAATGAATATATAAAATTTGAGCATAATCAGTCAAAGCATGTCAGAGATACGGTTATAGAATTGCATTCATTAAAACAAAATGGCCGCCAGTCAGCCATTATGAATCCGATCCGAAAATCAAAATGACGTTCATCAATGTATGTACCAAGTTTGAACAAAATCCATCTGTAAACGGCTGAGATTCGGTTCCGGAATGCCAGAAATGCTTGATTTTGATGATTTTTCAGTAAAAAATGGCCGCCATTCGACTATCTTGAATAAATCGTGAAACAAATTGATGTACATATGTATAATATTATGTATGATGTACGTATCTAAGATATAAGTCCGAACGCATGAACCCACTCACGAAGGTCAATCCATTAGTCCGAACGCACGGACCCACTCACAAAGGTCAATCCATTAGTCCAAACGGGAACTAACAACGTGAACAGCACTAGCATCTAGGGAATCACAGTTTACGTGACCATGCAGGATGAGCTAATATTAATTCATTGCAAGGTCGCATGCGAAAATTTAGTCTTTAGTCAATATGAGGCTCTCTAATTTCGATCTTTTGAGTATATACTCGTCTGCATGGACTCTTGATGCATGAATTATGTGAATATATGTGTAATATGTGATGTATATATATGTTTAGTAAATAATTCCATATTGTATGCTTTCATCACCAACCACATACATTCTTACATTTCATTACCACTAAATACATGTTATACAAGTCATATATCAGACATGAAATGGATCTACCATATTGTATCGACACAGCGAGCAAATCTGCGGGAACGAAACAAACACTTATCAGGTTCTTATGATCCTACCAGAAGTCCCCGTTATGGTAGATACATGAATAATAGACTATGGAAAATTTGGATTTGAATAATATTGTAGACCAGTGTTATATTGGCGAGTGAAAAACAAGAGGCAATATGACGTAAATGTTAACTGACCTCTGTAGATCCAGTGAAGGAAACTTTATCCACATTCATATGTTCAGAGATAGCAGCCCCAGCAGTGGGACCATAACCTGGTACAATGTTAACAACACCTGGTGGAAATCCAGCCTGGCACAATAACGGTAAATTAATACAACGCTTACGGGTTATATCAGTAGTCATTTTCATAGTGTAAGGGTAAACGGACATTTACATTTTCAGTTTTCTTTCTTTCGAGATTACACGTATGTTGTTTTCTACAATAATTGCATACATACTAACAGAGAGCAGTCAGGGACATTTGATTGAAACTCTGGCAACCCAGCGAATGAAGATCTATTTAAATTAGTATTTTTATAAAATTAATTGGCATATGATTTGTATGGTACCATGCTTTCGTTTGTGCAGTTTGGACATTTCTATCGAGCACTGCAGCTAGTTATAATCTTTAGGTAAATTTGTCATAATATCTTTTTAGTAAACTCTCTGTAAGTATTGTAACTATACCTTACATATTCAAAATGCAATATAATTAAATACAAATACAATAAGTAGCACCCTTTATCTCGAAGTGCTCCTGTGACATCACCATAACGTAACAATCTCGTTTAAATGTCGTTCGTCATTTTAAATGTAACACAGTACTTTTTATTATCATTTATAGTACATATTATTCGCAGATGACGGCATGTCAAAATATTTTTGCAATCATATACGTCACAGAACCACACATCGTCACTTGATTCGAGTCTTCTTAGAACGTTGTACTAACAAACTTACTTCTTTGATTAGAGTCGCACCGTAGATCGTTGTCAACGGAGTCTGCTCTGCTGGTTTTGCTACACAGGTGCAACCACAACACAATGCCATTGCAAGCTTAGATATGAATATAGCAAATGGGAAGTTCCATGGAACAATCAATCCGCATACTCCGACAGGTTCGTGACGGGTATAGCAGAAGAAAGGACCGTCTTAAATCAAGCAGGAAAAACAAACGATAAACTTATTGTAGAACTTATAGATATGTTCTGTTCTGTTTGTCTGTATAATCAATATAATCCAAAGATAATGCAATACTTCGTTACCATAGTAGCAACAAGAGATTAGTAGTTTTTATGCTATTTCATATAAAACAGAACCTACATGATCCGAACAAAAGTGTGCTCGTCATCTCGGATTTTAATATGGTCCCCATCATTATGCGAAAAATATTTTTAAATTCCCATGTTTTTAAACCCCAGAAATTCAACAAGGCCAAGAAATATATCAAGTTGTTATTACTCGAAAAAAGCAACTCATACTTTGAACGGATATTCTTTTTTTCAAGTTATTTATTACTTTTTAGGCTTTGAATGTGATTATCTATCACTATATAAATTGTTGTTTTGCTATTTTGGTCACTTCTGAGCAAAAATACTGAAGATAACGGATATTTGTTGGGTTTATTGAATTTCTTGAGTTCAAAAACGTATGAATTGATTCTAAAATTATGTTTATAGGTGCCTTGGAAGCACAAATATTACTTTCGTTCGCGTATTGATGGGGGCCATCTTGTAATCCAAGATGGCAGCCACAGTTTTGGTCGGATTACGTGGGATTGCTCGTAAAGGGTATACAAAAATTAGTGATTGTGCAAATTTTCGTGCTTTTTTCACATTTTGAACGATTCTTATCTACTGTACTATAGGAGCCAATAGTACATTTTCCTATGTGTTGTGTGAAATGAATAATTCGGTGATGATATAGTTCAATGTGCGTTTTGCTAACAACATTGAATATAACCAAATCGAAGTCAGAGAAATCTGAATTGGTAGCCAATATATATGTCAATAAATTCTGAAAGATTGTATCAACATAAAGCGGTGATATATAATTTGTGTATTCAATATTTGTGTGCATTTTGTTTTCACATATCTAATATATTATAGCGCACTGTTTTGTCATTCCTGGTCAATCCTTAGATTAGTATGCCGCTAAAACTCGTAGGATTATTTCTATATATAACGAGTCCCTGCTGTTTTATATTAGGAATTGTTTCATTTTAGTGATGGTATCTACGGGGCACCAAAGCCTGCAAAATATTTTGTCATACAGAGAAACAAAATTCACAGCCATTTTTTTTTTAATTTAAAGAAATAACCAAACACCAATACCAGCATAACATATTAAAATAAAATAATAAAAATTAAATCAAAACATGAAATTAAATTATATTTAATTGAATAAGAGCCCTAGCAAATAAATAAAATGAAATTAAGAAATTTGTAAACAAAGGAAGAGGAAGAAGGTGTATGCGCATCACATGTTCAGATATTCAAAAACTCTGTTGATGTAATCATGGAGGACATCAGGACTATACTGTATAGTAGGGTGTAAGAACTCTGCCATAAAAATGATTAATGGACGTTTGTGTCTTCCAATTTCAAATATAGATATGGTTGACGCTGTCGTATAATAAAATTAGGCTAGTACGACGGGGCTAGTACCCAGCGCTGGTTTGACCGCTCACTGCTATGAACAATAAACGAGTTGTTCACTGGTGCTCATTACTATTACCTTCAACTAAGCTCAGACAACTTCTGTTTATATAGTTGTCTCAAAACAAAGTGAAATGACTCATTAATTCAATAGATAACTGGGATTTTGTGTTTTAATAATAATTGTTTCTAATTTCTGTCCATTTACGCGTCATTCATTTCCCGCTTGCTCGTCGAATGCCACTGAGCAACGTGGTCGGTGGTCAAAGCAATACTGTACCACGCCCAATATCTCAGCCCATTGAATGTGTACCATCAAGACCCAATGTAAAATCACCCGTACAACAGTCATACATGCAAGGCTATCGTGCTACAGACAGCAGCACAGTTACATGTAATGCAAAATGAATTAAGTAACATGCTTTTACATGTGTATCAGTCCCGACAGTTGCGTAAGACATGATGTCGTGGTTGGCACCGAAATTAACTAACTAGAAATAATAATTTGAAAATATATGTATTTATTTATTTTGCTTTTATTTTTACTCGTTTATAATAAGTAAATTAGTTAATAATTTACTTTATTGAATTTTATTTTTTGTATTTTGTAAGTAATAGGTTGTTTTTATTATTTAAAAAAGTTTTGGTAAATTTCACGAAAAAAATGTCTGTGGAATTGTTTTTCTCTCTAACATTTTAATTTCTATTATTTTTTTTTAATTTGTCTGTAGCTATATAAATTCATACCTGGTACATATATGTCTGTGGTCATATTCAGACGTAATACTATAGCCTAATAGAATATAATATGTATTTTACCTATGGGAATTGTCTTTCCATGTATTTTATCAGCATAGCCAGCAAAGTAACGACAGAATATGGTAGCAATCACCATATCTATAGTTGCATCTTTATATGGTTTACCACTGTCCAAAGTTTCCAGTCTCTAAATATAAAGAATAAGTATATATTGATCAAATATTACATCAATTTTGGGGTACTGCACGTTGTGAATGAAAGATAACATTTTCATGTAAATATGAACTAATTTCCAGCAAAGATTAAAGCTGGTCGTCGTGCAGCGAGTGATCGAATTTCATTTAAATAAACAATGTATTTTACATGCGTTGTATACTTCGCTATGAGTACCACATCGAACAGGACGTGGCACGGCGACTGCCGCCCTTTAAAGTGAGAAAAGTAGGTGCAATGTATAACGGTTTAGGTTGAATTCATTAAAATTAATATACAGTGTAGTAATATAAGCATACTGAATTGATTGTGTTGAATGATTGCACAGTGAGGCAAATCAACTTACTGCCAGGTAATCTGCATCTCTCTCAATTAAATCAGCTAGCTTGTACAGAAGTAGTCCCCGTCCTGATGCATCCATGGTACGCCAAGTGGAACCAAGTTTGAATGCTTCTCTTGCAGCTTTCACTGCAACATCTATATCTGCCTGATAGAAGAGAAGTGTTTCAAAGACGCGCCTGCCACAGTCATGGAAATACGCTATTAAGTATTTGAATGTCTAGTTTTTGCAATCTTTTATTCATTTGTTTTGAGCTGGAAAATAATAGTTATAACAAATACAATTTTGTTTAGGATTTCCCGAAGTTGGTGAGCTAGCCTTACCACATCCTAGTTTTAATATGTATGCCCTTACCAAAATTCATTAGACAAAATGTATAATTTTTGTGTGCAAAAAGTATACAAATTCTGAATAAATTTGTACTTTTTATGTATAATTTTTGTACCCTATATTTGGAACAGATTTATATACAAAAAGTATGCAAATATTATGCAAATAGTGTACAAAACTTGGTTATGACAACTCACTAAACATACCCCTCCAACTATCTTTATTTGACAAACTGATAAGACCCATTATTGTATATGGTAGTGATGTTTGGGGTGATGAAAGCACAACTAAGTCTGCAATTGAGGATGTCCATCTTTCATTTGGTCGGTTCATTCTTGGTCTCTCAAAATTCACATCAAAAATGGCTGTTTATGGTGAGCTAGGAAGGTACCCCATTGACTGTTTTATCAAGAAACAACGACTTAAATATTTCAACCGGGTAACAAACTCTGATAACACATTACTAAGAGAAGCCTACTTAGTAAACAAGAATGTAAAAAGTAAATGGTTTACTAGTGCAGAAACCCTCATGCAAGATATAGATGTTGTCACCATTGTAAACTCAAGTAAAATCAAAGAAAGCTTAGAAAGAACTCCCATGTGCTGAGAGTATTGGAGACACATTAAATATAATTCGAAATTACTTAGCTGAAAACTAATTATGCAAATCAGAAAATTAATATGACCAGATTTGAGTGTAAAACTAATGAGGTCTGCGCAATGTAACAGAAAATCTATGTCTCCAAGTTTAATTGAAATGTGATTAGAACCAAAAAATTATGAATTATTATGCTTATTAGGGAATTCATATGAACAGATTTTACCCAAACTAATTAGGTTTGTACATTGTCCTAGAGCAT